TCTACCCCCGATTCTGAAAGCCTTGAAATCCTCATTTCTTCTTCCCTGATTCTTCCAGAGTTAAAAGAAAGATTAGCTAAGATGAATGAATTCCTCCCTACTAATGTCTATTTTTCAAGTGTTTAATGGGTGCAAGGCATTGAGCTAGGTTCTTTATGGACACTACCTCATCCACCATTCATTACAATAATAGACATGCCTGCCATTTACAGGTGAGGAAACTGAGTCTCAGAGAGGTTAAGTGACATCCCCCAGGCCACAGAGCTACTCAGTTGCAGAGTTGGGATTTGAACCCAGGCAGACTGTTCCAGAGGCTGGGTTTTTAATCCCCATCCTGGAAGGAGCTGGATGCAGGGGGCAGTGTGTATCTGACCAGTCAGACGTCATGTTCCCCTTCCTTCCTCCTTCTCTCATGTGCCTCATTCTTATAGTACTTCTACTTTTTAAATAATTTATAATTACTTAGTCATCATTTATCATTATTTAATCATCCAATTCCACACTGACCCCTGCCAGGCTGTAAGATGCTAGTGGACAGAGATTGTACTTGTTTTGTGCTCCACTGTATCCCCAGGGCTTAAAGTAATGCCTGGCACATATGACTACCCCATAAATACTGGTTGGAAGAATAAATTCAACCTCTTAAAGAGCTGGAGGTGGAAGGGGCTAGCTAGAGGCTAGCTAGGGATTGGGTGTCCTAGACCGGCGATGGCCATAGGGTTAAAGGTGGATCTCAAGGGGCCATCTGGTCCATGCCCCTGCCATTGCCCTGCCACAGCCACCAAATCTGGTGGGAAAGTGTTAGAATGGGTTCTAGCCCTTGCGAGAGCTGCGCTCTCTCTCTCTCCCCCTCTCTCTGGGACTATTTCCCTTCTTGAAGGGGGTGGATTTGCTGATTTTTAAGTCTCTTCCATCTCTACCAGTTTATGGTTCAAAAAGAGGCAAAGCACTCGGGAAATGAGCATCCCCTAGTTTGAATCACCAGCTCTGGACCCGTTCCCGAGAGTGCCAGCTGCAAGGGGGTGTGCACCCAAGTCTGGCAGGGTTGCCACGATGGGCTTTTTCAAGGGCAAACCAGGACGTGCATAGCTGGGGGAGGCTGGGCCTTCCAAGTTAGCACCTGAGAGACCGCACACCTTCTCTAATGGTGCTGGGGGGCTCACAAGAAGCTCTGGAAACTTCTCTTGCAGAAAGGCCTTCTAGATGGGCTTTGGAGCCCCAAGGGACACAGACCCTCCCCACAGGGTACCCACCCCTCTGTTCCAGATCAAGTTCCACTCCTCCCTGGCCTCCTTCCTTCTTCACACAGCACAGCCCCCAAAGACTCTCACTCATTTCCAGAAGAACCAAGCCACTCTGAAGGACAAAGATTCTCTCCCCCATGACGACACTCAGAGCATATGCCACAAGCTCTGCGATGACTCCAAAAGAGTCCAGGAATGTTGGATAAACTGCAGCAAAGCGGTATAAGCGTATGGCTTCCCAGGGGGACCACTTGGATGGGCCATCGCTCCTCTGAGTGTATAAAATCAGTCTTTAGACTCACCTGCTCAGAGCTGGGTACATACAAAAGTGTGCACGCATCTTGCATTCAACAAGCAGGAGTTTACTCCTGCCACGTGGGCCTGGCAGGCAGAAATGCAAAGGTAGAGGCAAGGGCCCAGCCCCCCTGGGGTTCTCAGACTTTCTGCCTGTGTCACTGGAGCACCCCAACTCAGAATGACAAAACATTAGAACAGGAAGAAACCTATGCAGTCATAGGTTTCTTCCTGTTCTAACCTGGCCCCCTCTTTTCACAGATGAGGAAACAGACCAGCGTGTGCGCATTGGGGATGGGAGGAAGTGATTGCCCTAGGGAGGCCCAGACAGTTGGTAGCAGAGGGAGAGGTTGAACTCTGGCCTCTCAAACCCCAGGCCAGGCAGCCCATCCCAGCATTACCTCTCGACAGGACTCTGCCCTTAAAAAGCAAAATAAAGATCACACCACCTGCTCTCCTTCTTGGTCAGTTTTAAGGATTAGTGATAATGCATGAGAAGGCATGAGAAGGTTCGTGGGGGGTGAGGAGGATAGATAAATAAAAGCAGAAAGTGCTGAGAGCAACAAAGAGCAGCCTATTAGAGCAACCAGAGTCCAGCTCTGAGAGTAGGGGCAGGTGGGAGCCCTTAAGTGACTGCATCACTAAGTCACATTTCTGTAACCTTAAATATTTCATTGACCCAGAAGTGTACCATGAGGAACAGCTATTGCTCCTCCAGAAGGGGCTGTGACTGCGCTTGCACACATGAGCACACCTTGCACAGACACGTGCAAGCTGGGGGAGGGGACTGGGACAGGCAGGCTCCAATTCTCACTCGTTCTAGAAATGACTCCAACAACAGGCATGAGGCACTCAGCAACTCCCCAGCCCTGCCGGTGAGCCTCCCACACCTTTTTCCGCCCACATGCCCAAGAGACACTCAATCACTCACCCAGCTCTGGGCATAAAAAAAGTCAAAATGTCATCCTCACACCTTCACAGACAGACCCATGACAGCTCACATAGAGACCCCAGCACCAAAGGCTGCAAGCCAGTCACACACCACCTCCCCGCTACCCAAAAACGCTTTGCCACCCACCCCCAGCCTCCTCCAGAAGCCAGTACCAGGAGCTGTCTCTCCTCCCTCTCCCTGCTCTCTCCTCCTCTGCTTCCACCCCAGCACCAGCTGCTCCCCGGGCCCCTCTTTCCATGCAGCCCCCTATCAACCATCTCTCCAAGGCCTGAGCTCTCTGGACCCCTCTTCTGACCTACAGCTTTTGGGCCAAAGAGTCTGAGACCCTGGAGCTTGAGAAAATGGCATGAAGTATGGTGTGAGACTTTGGGAAGAACTTCCATGACCAGACCGAATTTGAGAGGAGGAAGGGACTAGGAAAGAGGCCTAGGCAACCTGGATGGCTAGGGTGGCGGTGGAAGGTCTTATGAGAGCCTGGAGAGGTCATTCTCCTAATTCTGCTGTCCTTTGAGGAGATAACACGACAAGGAAAACTGCAGTTATCCATTCATTGAGGGCTCTCTGTGCCAGACCCCTTACCTTAAACGATACTCAACCCCACCAGAGAGGGACTCTTCTGCCCGTCGTACAAATGAGGAACTCGAGGCTCAGTAAGGAGAGTCTGAGGCCCCAGAGACAGGGGTGTGGGAATTCAAGTTCCAGTGTCCTGATGGAAGCAGGTAGGGGATAGATGAGTCAGCTATTTAAAGGATACTTTGGACCCTGCTCTGTGTATATGTGTTTAGGAGGTGGGTGAGTGGAGAAGTCACAGAAAGCACCTGGGCCCTTCTGGGCCCTTGTATCCCCCACCCCATCCTTCTCTCGGCATCTTGCCCTCACACCCTTCCCTCTGCTGTCACATCTGGGGGTGGGTAGCAAATGACCTGAAGAGGGGCTAAGGACTCCGATCAGCTGTTTCCCAGGCTGGCCCTGCCATATCACAGAGAGAGCAAGGGAACCCTGCAAGTACAGGCTGGGTGTAGGCGGTCCTAGAGTCCAAATGACAGCAAAACAGGGGCCAGTTAACAGCAAATGGAGGTCTGGCTTGCCCACTGGGTCCCTATCACTCCAGCATTGGCCTGAGAAAACTGAGATGGGCCTGGCATGTGTAAAGTGATATGGCTGGTGGGGGCAGAGCAGATGAGGTTATTTTGGGAGGTAACAGGGGAAGGGACCATATGAAATCCAGGCCAAGGAAGAGCTGCCTGGGAGAGGAGGCAACTGAGGGTTGAAGCTGACCCTTTACAGGAGAGGATGGCCATAGGGTCCCCAGAGAAGCAGGCGTTGAGTGATACAGAACTTCCCAGTTGCTCAGTTTAAAGCAAAAGAAAGAGATCTCTGGCCCTGGTCCCTACTGGGCCCCTCCCTCAGAACTCCCTGTCCCTCCTCCCCTCCACCCTCAGTCCTCTTCCCCCGAGAATGTCCAGCCCTGCCCCTCCCCAGCACCTCTCCTCTACCTACCCAGTGGCCCTCCCCAGCCCCTGCCATAGTGCCACAGCTCCTATGAATATTCTATCTCCTTTACTCTCTAGCATTGATTGACACCTTGGTCCTACACCCAACTAGTAAGTTCTTCACATAGTTTAACTTCCATTCCTTCAGTTACAGTAGATCATTTTGTTATTCTGTCCGTGTGACATCAGAAACCCAGGCCATCTGTAAACAAGCCACTCCACCAAAGGAGTTTCCCTCTTCATTCCCCAGCATCCTCTTCTTGCAGGCCTTTCACCTGCTTTCCCATCCCATAATTTAGCAAGCAGAAAAAGAAATCTATTTCACAAGCATTATTGGCTTGCCATCCCTATTACGCCTTCTGCTGAGTCCCAGATGGTTCTCTCTCTCTCTCTCTCTCTCTCTCCCCCTCCCTCCCTCCCCCCCCCCCCACCAGCCCTCCGACCACCGCCAGCACTTCAAGAAGAGGCTCTGTCCTCAGGAGTCCCTCTAAGGTCTTCAGATCCCCTCCCTGCAGCCCGGAGAACACAGGACTGGTGCCCATACCTCACACCTCCCCTCCAAATTTCTGTCTCCGCTCTAATGTGTTCTTCTCAAGAGAAAGTCCTTCTCCCTGTCTAGCCTTAATCCTTCCTGCTGCATGCTTAAATCCCCTTTCCTTCTTTTCTCTATGAGACAACTCCCTTTAATGTTATAAACGAAATCTTCCTTTTGCTTTTGCTGCCACCCTTCTCGCAGTGTCCTTCCACCTTCCTAGCCCCTAAAACCTGCCCAGGCTTGGAGTTCTCGGTAGCCGCTCCTCCACACCCCTCCCTGCCCAGAACTCCGAGGACACCTGCACGCCCGCCGCGCTGTCCACCGCGACTGGCACCGGCCACACCCCGCTCTCCCGCCCGCGGGGCGGGGACCCCCGCAGCCCGCCGCGCAGCCACGACGGGGTTAAGGCTCGGGGCTGGGGGAGGGAGGGGGGCCTAAGGGGCGGGTGCGGAGCCAATAGGCGGCCGCAGAGTCCCGGGGGCCGCGAGCTAGGAGCGCGGAGCCGGGAGCCCGGAGCCGAGCGCGCCGGGCTGGGGCCGGAGTCGGAGGGGAGCGGAGCGGAGAGGCAGCGCGGCCGCCCCAGCCCCGAGTCCCGTCGCCTTCCCTCCCGCCGCAGCGCGGGCCAGCGGCCGCCGCCCAGCTATGGAGCCGGACAACAGCCCCCGGAAGATCCAGTTCACGGTCCCGCTGCTGGAGCCGCACCTTGACCCGGAGGCGGCAGAGCAGGTGCGGAGCAGGGCGGGGCGGCGGTGACTTGCCCTGCCAAGGACGAGGGATCCCTGGACTGCAGGATCCGAGATCTCTGCTTGGTCCTCCCCTAGCCGTGCGCCACTGAAGGCGGAGGCGCCCGGTTTGGGGGTCTCCTATTCCCTCCCCCACCGTCGGAGCCACATGTCCTTATCTGTGCTTCTTCGAGACAGAAGGACGAGCGCCTCCACTCGAAGCTTGTCCCCGCGAGAGTCGCTCCCTGCCTCCCCAGCCTTGCGCGAGGGGGCTGCCTAAGGACACGACCCCTCCCACCTTGGCCACTCCCGCATCCTCCACCCAGGCATCCCCGCCAGAGTTTCTGAGCTCCGTGGGGGAGCTGAAGGGTACTCGCGGCAGCGCGGGAGGGGTGAGCGGAGAGGGCAGGAAATGGAGGGAGCCTGGTGCAGTAGCAGTGGAGAGAAGAGAAATAGCCCTGCCGGGCCTCTCCTAACTAGGGGCGACCCTGCTGGATCCCAGAGAGTGAGAGCAAGCAGGGGCTGGGGAACACTGAGAGGGCTGGAGCTCTGGGAGGGGAGGTGGTCCAGTCTGCAGGCTGAGGCTCCCCTTTCTGCAAGTCTGGACACGTGGGTCCTTTTTCCCAACTACTGCCTTTTGGAGCAGGGAGTGGGGGTGGCATAAAGAGGATGGCACTGGGAAGGCAGGGGATTTTGAGGAGCTGGGGTTCAAGTTGAGCGATAGGCAGGGGAGAAGCACTGTGCTGGCCTTGGCTCAAGGGGTGGGAGTCCAGGGCCGGGGCCCAGCCTCCTGGCCTGGACTATTTTTAGCTCAGAGCAGCCTGGCAGAGGCGGCAGCAGCGTGTGAGAGTGTGTGAGCAAGTGTGTCTCAGGGAGCGTGAGCGTGAGTGGAGACGGTGACCACCTCGGTCACTACTACAGCCTGTTTGCCAAATATCTGTTCGTTTGCTCGGTTTTCCATCTCCTTTGTGTTCTCTGTCCATTTGCCTAGATAGCCCTTTTTCTCGAGAATGCCCATTCCCACAAGGTCAGTTCTCTACTTCCCCCAGCTGGCTGCCAGGGCTCTGCTGGGCCTCCCCACCTGAGAAAACACCGCGGCCTCCCAAGATGGGCTGAGACAACGTTCTTTCTGTTGATCCAGCTGTTTGGTAGAGTAAGGTCTAGATGGGAAGAGAAAGGGAAGGTGCACACTCCGTCCCTGTAACTTCAGCCTCCCAGGGGTTAGGTACCTGCCTCTCCATCCTCTCCTCGGCCTGTGACAGTCACATCTCCAGACCTCTGAGGTGGGACAGTAGAGAGATTGTGATGAGACTTCAAAGCTCCTGAGGGTGAGGAGGGTGGAGAGCCAGCAGCATGGGGAATGTCCCCTGCAGTCTGCAGAAAGGCAGCTGTGCCTGCAGGCAGGGGACTGGCAAAGGGAACCTCAGACCCAGGAAAAAGGGCCCAGGAGTGTGGACTGTGGGGGTTAGGGATGAGGTTTCAGGCAGAACTGCTTTCCATTGGCACGAACAGGTATCACTACCTGACACCTGCATCTGTTTGGTGTTAGAGGAGGCGGGTATAAGTGTATGTTGAGGGGGTAGGCCAGCTGGTTCGGGGAGGCTGGGAGACGGGAGAGGCGTGAGGCAGTGCTAAGGAGCCACAGGGACCAAGAGAGCTGGGACTTGAGCCTGCTTTTCTCTAATCTTCAGAAATCTGTCTACCAAGCCTGAAATTTTACCTGCAGTCTAACCTCAGCCCCTCCTGCTGTGTTACCCAAGTGTGCAGGCAAAAAGCTCCAGGTTTGGCAGGAGCTCCTAACCCAGACGGACATGGGAAGGCAAAAACAGGTCAGAAGATCTGATCTGGGAAGCACAGAGTGTCAGGGGATAGGGAGGCGGGTCACAACTACCAGGTCCTTGGCATGATTCGTTTGGAAATGAATCAGAGACAAAGGCACCAGGTGTCCTTGAAAGCTAGGATTTGGGATAAGTACAAGAAAGAAAAGAGAGCATCTACTAATTTCCTACTAGTTCAGGTGCCTGGGAAGTGCTTCGGGAAGTCTTACTTTGTTCCCTCGCAATTCTCAAGGACACTGAGTGCTTAGAAATTTTGTCCAAGGTGGGGAAATTGGCTAAGGAAGGGACCTGTGCAAGATCACAGAGCCCTACTGTCCTTTCAAAGGCCCTTTCTGTCACACTTGGAGTCTCCTTCTCAGGCTCCCAACTCCCACTAATCTGTACCCCACCCTCTCTCTGTCTCCTCCACAGCCAGCCCCCTCCCCCAGGGCAGGAAAGAAATAGGAGTTCCCTCCTAGGAGAAGGATGGCCCACACCCACCCACATGAAGCACACATGCCTGCCTGCTGGCACCCAGTGCAGTTGCACCAGGAATAGCCAGAGACAGGCTCAGCTAATGTTTGTGCAGTGCGTGCGTGTACGTGTATACATATACACAGGACTGTTAGTGCCAGGGACCTTGATATGTCACCAAAAACAAATGCCACTGGATTCTGCAGAGAAAACAGTGCCCTACCTCAACATACCCCCATTCTAGGCAACCCATTTCTTCTTTGGGGAGAGTCCTCCTCTCAGACTGACACTGCCTCTCTTGCTATGGCCGGTACCCATTTTCTGGGCATAGAGAAGGGCAGGCATCCTACCACCCTCACCCCCAATGGTTATGATACTAAATAATGGATATGCAAAGATAGGAATTTGATCATTCAGCATTCTCACCCTACTCCTCTCAGCCCAGGATAATTTTAACCCCTTTCCCAGTCCCATTAGCCTTCCCTCCCTTCTGCTGCCCTGGAGGGAGCTGCTGAGACTCCAACCCCACCTTTCCCCTTACTCTCAAGCTCCTAAACCCCCCAAATAAAGGGCAAAAACTACATGTCCCAAGAGTCCTTAGACCGACTTCAACAACAATCAACTTTATTGGCAGCATGACAAAAGAATGGCAACAGGAAAAGGGCTCAGAAGCCCAGCAAGTAGCTCTCATATGTTAATTTAGCAGGAGACCCAGAGCCCAGGATAAGATTTTTTGGCTTAGCTTTAGGCCCTGACCAGGCTCCAGCTCATTTATATTTACCATGACAAGGATTTCCACAGACTGTATTTCCTGATCAGTCAGAAAGGCAATGTGTCCAAACATAGGAAAGACATTAGAGAGTGAGGAGTAGAGGCCCAGGGAATGAACACTCGGACCTACAATTTCTGTGCTGTCTTCCCAGGCTTGGGGGTGGGGTGGGTGGATGGGGGGCGGGGCAGTCTGCAGGTGCTTGCCCACAAGGGGTTAATGTCTGTTTGAGGGGTGGGCTGGGAGACTGAGGGAAGAGCCTTATGCCCTCTCAGGTTATTTCTGACCATTGATCCAGGATGGACGGAAGGACAGCGGGCCAGAGATCGATATGCTAGAGCAGATACAGCTGCTGAGATGGAGATCTGGGGCCAGGACTGAAGGAGATGCAGAGACAGAAAGGGGGCAGGGGATGCAGAAAGTGGGGGAGGGCTTTTGGGTCCCCAGCAGAGAGGGATGGGCCCAAGAAAGTTCACCCTGAGATAGTGGGTTCAGTGTCACATGACATGTTTTGAAGTGTAACTGACTGACCTGGATTATGTTGCTGAGTGGTATTGGGTGGGGCTTTGATGCTTCCGCATGTACTTGACCTCTTCCCTCAGATTCGGAGGCGTCGCCCCACCCCTGCCACCCTCGTGCTGACCAGTGACCAGTCATCCCCAGGTAACCTTTGGGATGGCTCGCTGAAGGGGGTGGGGGCTGCTGGAGACAGCTGGGTCTGGTGAGAGAAGGTGGGCATGGTAGAAGAAGGGCAGATCTAAGAAGTCAGCGATCTCCTCAACCCTGGAAGCAGAAAAGTGGTGGCTGGATTAACAGGAGGATTTCCTTCGCTCTGGGAAGATGAGCAATGCAGAGAAGGGGAGGGAGACCACCTGGTTCCTAAGCCTCCCAGGAATTGGGGTGGTCAAGTGAGTGCTGGTTGCTTCGCAACAGCCTTCCAGGTTTCTCCCGCAACTGAGACACTGCTGCCCCCACCCCCAGAGGCAGTGACAGCTGTGGGGGGAGGGACCGCCTCCACCAGCTATCTTCACAGCCCCTAGAGGGGGAAGGGAAGGTTAGAAAAAGCTCAGGGAGCAGCTGGCATTCTGGTCACCAGTGTCCCCATCAAGGTCTGGGGTGGAACAAGGTCTCAGAGAATGTCATGGGGAGCTTGACGGGAGAGTGGAAGCGAGGTGGTCATGCTAATAAACTACACGGGAGTTCAGGATGCCTGCAACTCCAGCTTTCCTCCAACTATTGAAAATGACTGTACCTTCCTGGCCCCTACACAGGATAAATTTGCTCTTCTTTTTCCAATATTTCCTCCTTGCAGGGTTCAGTTCAGGACCTGGAATGAGGGAATGGATGGAAGGAGAAAGAGATATGCATACTTCAGGGGGAAGCAAAGTGCAAAGGGATCACAAATCCTGCAACCTCCAGGTCTGAGGCAAGATGTAGACACAGATAAGCCTGTAGAGTCAAGGACAGAATTAGATGCAGGCAAAGCCAGCCAGCGGAACAGGAGGAAGCTGGAGGGAGTAGGTCTAGGGAGCCACCAGGGCTAACTTCCTAAGGGCAGATGTGAGGGACAGGTCAGGAAGGAGCCGATTTCAGAGGCTCCTCCCCTTGGAAGTCTGCTCTGTGGGGACCCCCTGGGTCTCCCATCCTCATCACTTTCTCCTCTCCTTGTTCCCCTCAGAGATAGATGAAGACCGGATCCCCAACCCACTACTCAAGGTGAGCTGGCCCCTCCCACTCAGCCCAGCCCAGGAAATCCACAGACTTATTAGAGGATTATTGATCAGAACCCTCCATCTGTAGAACCTTAGACTCCCTCTTCCCTGCACGCCCAAACGTGCATGAGTGGACATACACACGTATTTTTCGCAACATAACCCATACACAGTCTCCTTGCTCACCATTGTAGGGGGGTTAGAGAAGCAGTAATTTTCTTCCCCCACTTTCCAAAGTCCATGCCCACCCCCATTTGCAATCCAAAAGCATGGCAAGGCAGAGGAGGCAGGTGCAAGGGCTGGCACCCACCTGTGTTCTGTCCTTCACAGTCCACTTTGGCCATGTCTCCACGGCAACGGAAGAAGGTGACGAGGACCACTCCTACAATGAAAGGTTTGGAAGATCCTTCCCATCTCTTTCTTCCCTTCTGTGCCTGAGGTTGAGCATTTGACCTAATGACCCTTTTGGAAGGAATCCTTGGGAAGTATTAAGTCTGTCTCTATTATAATGGGGTTGTTGCTGGACAAACTGGAGCTGGATTCCAGCTCTGCCTCCGACTAGCTGGGTGGCGTTGGGGAACCTGCTTAACCTACTGAGCCCCAAATACTACCTCACTATGGCAGTTAAGTTAAAGAAAATATATGAACTCCCCCACTATTTGAGAAAGTACTCAAATATTTTCTCAATTACCGTTGACATTCAATACTATTTTATATTGGTTTCCAGTGTACAGCATAGTGGTTAAACATTTATATAATTTACAGAGTGATCCCCTGATAAGTCCAGTATACACCTGGTACCATACATAGTTATCACAATATTATTGGTTATATTCCCTATGCTGTGCTTGACATCCTTGTGAGAATTTTGTAACTACCAATCTGTGCCTTTTGATTTCTTCACCTTTCTCACCCATCCCCTCAAACCCCCTCCTATCTGGCAACCATCAATTTGTCTTCTGTATCTGTAAGTCTGTTTCTATTTTGTTTATTTGTTTATTTTGTTCTTTAGATTCCTCATATAAGTGAAAGCATATGGTATTTTTCTTTGTATGACTTATTTTACTTAGCGTAATACCCTTTAGGACCATCCACATTGTCACAAATGGAAGATTTCATTCTTTTTTATGGCCAAGTAATATTCCATTGTGTATTTGTACCACATCTTCTTTATCTGGTCATCTATTGCTGGACACATAAGTTACTTCCATATCTTGGCTATTGTAAATAACACTGCAATGAACAAAAGGGCACATATATCTTTTCAAATTAGTGTCTTGGGTTTCTTCAGATAGATACCCAGAAGTGAAATCGCCAGGTCATAAGCCAGTTTCATTTTTAATTTTTTGAGGACCCTCCATACTGTTTTCCACAGTGGCTGCACCAGTCTGCATTCCCACCAAGTGCACAAGGGTTCCCTTTTAGCCACATCCTTACCAACACTCACTATTCATTTATTGATGCTAGCCATTCTGACAGGTGTGAGATGATATCTCATTGTGGTTTTAATTTGCATTTCTCTGATGATTAGTGACATTGAGCATCTTTTCATGTGTCTGTTGGCCATCTGCATGACCTCTTTGAAGAAGTGTTTATTCAGGACCTCTGCCCATTTTTTAATTGGATTGTTTGGTGGGGGAGGGGGGTGTGTTTAGTTGTATGAGCTCTTTATAAATTTTGGATATTAACCCTTTATTGGATGTATTACTGACGAACATCTTCCTCCATCCAGTAGGTTGTCTTTTTGTTTTGTTGATGGTTTCCTTTGCTGTGCAAAACCTTTTTAGTTTGATGTAGTCCCATGTGTTTATTTTTTTTCTTTTGTTACTCTTGCCCAAGGAGATATATCAGAGAAAAATATCACTAAGAGCAATGTCAGAGAGTTTACTGCCTATGTTGTCTTCTAGTGTTATGGTACATTTAAGTCTGTAACCCATTTTGAATTTATTCTTGTATATAGTTTAAGAGGATGATCTAATTTCATTTCATTTTGCATGTGCCTGTCCAGTTTTCCCAACACCATTTGTTAAATAGACTGTCTTTATCCCACTGTATGTTCTTGCCTCCTTTGTCATATATTAATTGATCATATAAATGTGGGTTTATTTCTGGGCTATTTTGTTCCATTTGTCTATGTGTCTGCTTTTATGCCAGCATCATGCTGTTATGATTTCAAATATTTCTTGACTCTAACTTGAGTCTTTTCTCCTCCCCTCAAGGGAGACCAAGTATCCTAGCAAGTTAGGATGATCTTTTGTTCTTAAAGGCTCCTTACACCTTTTTTTTTAACCTCTGAACGAAATATGTTCTATTGTCCAGCTTCAGTCCCTCCTAATTGCCTAGCAAATGTCCCTCCTTTTTCAAGTCACATAGGATGGGAAAGTCAAACCACACTGGCAGTGTGTGATGGCCATTTGGCGGGGCTGTTGAAGTTGAAGGTCCACAGAGGAAGCCCTGAGCAATCCTGCCCACTGTCCCCTCCCTTTCTCTGTGACTCCAGAGCTCCAGATGATGGTTGAACATCACCTGGGGCAACAGCAGCAGGGAGACGAGCCTGAGGGAGCCACTGAGAGCACAGGGACCCAGGAGACCTGCCCACCTGGGGTCACAGAAGCGGAATCAAGGCTGGGCGCCTCCAAGAAAGTACAAAGTATGTTCAGGCTGGGGAGGGACCAGCCCAGGAGAAGGCCAGCCTTATTATTGTGCGAGGGGGGGAGGTCTAGTAGTAGCCACAAACTCTTCAAAATACAGATATATCTGCCTGTATTGCATATATTTGCATCTCTTCACCTTTCCTTACTAAATGACCCCAACCCCTCCCACCTGGACTTCAGGGCTCCCTGTCGTGGCCGTATGGGGGCAGCCCCTCATAATGGGGACAGCCCTCACAGGCTAGAATCCCCACGCTGTCCCCTTCCCACCCCAGAGGCCTTGGGCAACTTACTGAACCTCACTCTATAAAATGGTAATGATGGTGCCTATTTCACTGGGTTGTTTGTGAAAATTAAATGAGACTGCCCAGTAGCTGACACAGACAAAGTGTGCAATAAATGCAAACTGCTGGGGGTGCTGTTAATACATGTCCATAGTCACTTATCCCAATTATTCCAGAAGTCAGAATTTCTGCAATTTTATGAAGATGATACAGTACGTATCCTGTGTATTACATAATGCCCCCAGCAGAGCACCCTGTAATCAAACACATTAATATTTCTACAGTGAAATGAATTGTCCCACTGAGTGGGATAAATAAATAGCTTCACATCAGTTCAGGTTAGATTTAGCCATACATTGAGATGGTACCCAAACTTTAAAACTTTGTTTGAGGGTTTTTTTCAATTTATGATTGCAGATAAATTTTAAATAAATAAAACAGTGATCCTAGAGTAAGAATTGTGGTCAGAGAAAACCCTGTTGGTCTTGCCCGCTTGCTCCAGCTTGGTCTTGGCTCCTCTCTGGTCACTGGAGTATGGGATGGGGTGAGCAGAAGCACTGCCCCTCTCTACAAGCCCTCATGAATACCACCTCTCCCTCCCACCCACCATTTTCCCTCCTTAGAGCCTGCAGAATCCACCCCAAAGACTCAGGAGAGGGACAGTGAGAAACCCAGCACAGAGGACCCTTCAACCCATATACCACCATTGGATTCCCAGGGAGCCAACTCGGTAAGCCACCAGGGCCAGACTGTGGGTCTTGCAGGAGAGAAGGCCGTGTGGGAAAAGGCGAGGGCTGAGATACAGAGTCAGGGAAAGGAGGACAAAGTACCAGCTTTAGTTGCTGAAGGGTTATTCTCTATGGGAAGAAGATGGAAAAAAAGAGAAGCTGCAGCAGAAGGGATCGATGTTAGCCTCTGTGTGAGGACTTCTGGCTCCTAGAATAGGTGGTGGAAATAGACCATGGGTTTTCTGATAAAGGGCATTTGTAACCCACAGGAAGATCCCCACCTGTCCGGGTTAGGTGAGCAGTGGTCCTGCCTGGAGTGGAGGCATTGATAAAATTACCTTGGGAGCTTTGATTTTAGTCCTTCCTCCCCTGTGCAGACTAGACAAGGGGCAAGAACTGGTGTCAGACAACAGAAGTAAGATGCTTGACTAACAGGATAGTTGGGCAGGCCAGCAGGGGAGGGGACGACAAGCCCTCTCGCCACTCACTCAGCCTCTCCTCCTGCCTCCTTTCCCCACAACAGGTCTGAGAGTGAAGGGGATATCCTGGATACACGACTGCAGTTGGGAGTGTGTGGACACTGGATTTGTTTCTTATTTCTCCACTTTTGGGGGGAAAATCTCTTGTTTTTAAAAAGTGATAAATTTGGTGTTAGGTCCTTGGCATTTTCCTTCTTTCCCGACTTGGAGAATCACTTCTCCCTCCCCTCTTGTCCTGCCCTCTCTACAGCCCTCTACCCTTCTGCCCAGCTGCCTCTGGAAGGGAGAAAATAGGAAAGCTGCGCAGAAGACTTGAGAAGAGGGTTCTTTTCCATCCCTGCCCTTACTTACTGCAGGAAGGGAGATGGGAGTCAGAGAGTTGGAAGGACTAACTTCCAGGGTGCCAAGAAGAAATAATGGCCCCAGATTCTCTTTTCCTGTTGAAAAAAATGTATCACCACCTGGCAGGGCTGCCCTGCAGCTGTGAAACCTAAGAGCTCTAAGGTCGGTCCACCTGTGACTTTGCTGTGGGCACCATCTGCTGGACAAAAGGGGGAACTGCACCCTGGCACGGCCCATGGGAAAGGTGGTGGTGTGTTTGGGGGATGCTTCCTTGTCTGCCCTCCAAGCTCCAGTGATTCCCAAACTTCAGGATGTGTTCTCTCCTCCACCTCTGAGGAGACCACCACCCCTATTCCAACCCATTAGCAAAGATGTATTGAGATCACAATGGCTATTAACTAAGAGGCCCTTGCTGGGAACAGGGCAGGTCACCTCTCCTTGTCCTAGACACAAGGAGCCAGGGTAAGAGACAAAAGCCAAGCAAAGGTGAAGGAACTTCCTCAGACCCCATAGCCAGGCCTCTCCTGCCCACAGCTTTGATTTTTCCAGTTAGTGACAGGGAGAGGGAAGGAAGGAAAGCTTCCCCACTCCTTACTTAAGAAGCAGTTTGATGGAGAAAAGAGAGCGTAAGTGTAAGTGTGCACTTACACTCAGAAATGTAAGGTCCCACATCTGCCCTCCCTACTCTACGCCCCCAGGCAAGACCTCACCTCTCTGGGCCTAAGCTTGTCATATATATATATATATATATATATATATATATATATATATATATATATATATATAAAAATAACGGGGGGAACACCGACCACACCAGGGTTTTACCGAGCTTAAAAGAGACAATGTATGAGAAGATACGCAGTGGACTTCCACTCAGTGAACACTAAACACAGCAACGCCTGGTCTCCCTTCTTTATTGATCTCTGACTATAGCAGGGTTCTGGGAGACCAAGGGCAGGGGTAAGTCACATGCATTTCTGCCCCACTCAGGGTGGGGTAGGAGGGACAGGTGGCAGGGTGGCAGGTCTAAGAGACCATGGATATGGACTTCACATGAACAGGACCCACTGTACAAATGCATGGTTGGTATTCACAAGAAAGGAGAAGGGAAGTCACCTGGTCTTGAGCCTTTCCTGGGACAAGGTGGGGCAAGAGGAGCCTGAGGAAAGGAAGGGGCAGGGGGCCTGGCTGGGCTCTTCAGACTACAGGACAGCAGCAGCCCTGAGCCCCTCCCATCTGCCTTCTACCCGCCACTCCCCACTTGTCCCAGAGGAGGGGCCTCTTGGTGCCAGAAGGTGGGTGGGTGGTGGAGGGTGAGAGCGGACGGATACTCTGTGGGTAACACAGTATTACTGGATTATATCTCACCCCCACCATGTACCCTTGACCCTGACCCACCTTCTCTCCTGCCTGTGCTCATAAGGTGCATCCTGAAGGTGCTTTGTTGGGGAGAGTCAAAGCACTTTACAGACATTGGTCGGATGGGAGCCTCTCAGCCCCAGGGGAAAGGAAGGAGGCAAAGGGCTCAGGCATCAGCCATAGCAGATGGCAAGCCCCAGGGGCCCAGACCCCGTCCCAAGCTCTTGAGCACCCCAGGAAAGACCTCCTCTCATCCCCTGGTCCTCTTCTCCAGTTGCCATTACAGAATGGGAGAGAGGCAAGACTGCAAGGGGTTGAGCTGGGGACGGGGCTGAAGCAGCGCAGGTCTGGGGTAAAGAGGCTGTCCCCTCGTTCCCAGGCCCCAGAAAGATACCATGCCCTGAAGGAGCCCTCTCCCCTCCCCATATATAGGGCTCTAAAACCCCCCAGCTTTCTATCCTATTCCAGCCCCTCCCAGGGGAGGAAAAGGGGGACCCAGACCTTCCAGCTAAGATCTGGGGTGGGGGGCTGAGGGAACCCCCAAAATGTATTGCTTAGAAACTTGGAGGCAAAAAGGATGGGGGAGGGCCCAGGGGCTGGCATCTCTGACCCTCCCCACAGGCCCTGGGAAGCCTCCAGAAAGCTCCCCTTTCCCACACAGCCATCTGGCCGTAGGGGGAGTCCAGAGGCAGGGGCTTGGGCACAGTGACCATTGGGAGCCTGAAGTTCCCCAGTCTTGCTGCCGGGAGATTAAAGTGCGACCCAATGGATATCGGGTGGGGAGGGGCCGTCCCCCAACCCCACAATCTCTGGCATTTGGCCTTCGGGTGGGTTGTCTGTTCCTCGACCTCCATGCTGCCTTGGAGCAGATGGGGGAGCCAGTCCCGATGGATGGTGCTGATGACATCAAACATTTTGGACTTAATGAGGACCTGGGGAAAGAGGGAGAAATCTCAGTGCTTTGATCTTTGCCTTTACCTCCAGCCTGACTTACCTTCTCCAAGTCCCACTCAGAACCCTACTCAGTCCACATATAGTTGTATAAAAACATGCCCTGCAGAAGGGTGCCCAGCCAAAGTATAAGCAGGAGCTGCCATTGAAGTCATGCCAACTGACCTCATAGAGCCTTGTACCCAGGCTAGTTCCTTTTCCCAAACCCTCACAAAGGTGCTACACAGGATGGCTGTACCCTTGCTCAGGACCCACCCTGCTCTAATGAGCTACCTGCTTTCAACTGCAGGGAATGGCATAGAAGAGCTGGAAGTATTTATCTGCTTCCCTCTCATGCCCTGAATCAGTTCTATGTGTTCACTCCTCCACTTTGTTGCCTGGAAGGAGACCGAAAGAACCTCACATCCACTGAACTCCAGAGAGTCTTCAAAATGCCATGTTGGACACACAATTCTCCCTACTTCCTGCCCAACATCAAGACCCTCCCCACTCCACCATGACAAGCTCACCTGGGCCAGCCCCAGGCTAGTCCAGATTCCCATTCTGGTTGTGTTCATCTTTGGCAGGGGAGGGTGGGGCCTCCTCCTCAGAGGGAGACAGCTCATCAATAGACATCTGGTTGGTGATGCCTGCAGAAGGGCATGAAGGAAGTAGGTACCAGACCAAGAAGTAGTTTTCCACACAACCCAAGGAGTACGTGGAGAAAAGTAAGGGATTCTCGAGCATCCTCCTGCCTTCAGGCTGAGCTATATTCAACCCCTGCCCACTTTGCCCACTTGGGGAGAGCCTCCCCAGCCTTGCTAAAATTCACAATCCTCAGTTCCCACACGAAGGAAGAGATTTCCCAGACAGAGCCACCAACTGAGCCAAATCCACAGGAGCACGCTGTGAAGGGCGCTCCTGGTCACACCACAATGTGCATAGGGCCCCTGGAGTTGTGAAATATGGTTGTCTCTGTTCTCTCTCCATCCCTCATTCTAGAATAGTCTAGGCCAAGCAGCTAGTCAGTCTTTCCTGTGATCTAACTTCAGTCTGATCAGCTCCGTTCCCAACTCTAGGAGTCAAAGGGCTGCTCCAGGAGCTGAAGGAAAATGGATCTGCTCCTACTCCATTAGCCACCCTCCTCCCAAGGCTTCATTCCCCACAATGGTACCCACCACTCGCTGCCTGTTCCTTCCATTTCTGCTTGTTCTCCTGAATGTATTTGGTCCAGGTGGAGCGGAAGCTGATCACATCAGGGTTGGGGTCTCCTACTTCCACATCCAGAGAAGGCTGGCGCCACTGGAAGCTAGAAGCAGGCCCCCCCCACCACACACACAACTCCAGAGGTGAGACCCAGCCCACTCCAGAACCACCTTCACAACCCTCTGGGTGGAGGGGGTGGAGCACCAGGAGGAGGCTTAGGGAGCCTCTTCCTTCTCTTTTCCCTCTGCTAGGTACTCTCCAAGTCCCTGTCCCTCTCCTCCCAGATTTCACCCCTCCCTGATTTCACCCCTCCCTTTCCACAGCTTCCCTCTTACTAGAAGGAAAATAACAAGATTAGCAGAAAGGCAATAAAAGAGCTAATGGAAGAGACAAAAACACGGTGGAGAGAAACACAGGTGCAAGTCACATGCTTCTGGTCCCATGGTCCCTTCCGCCCCATGTGATACACTGCAGAGGGGCTCCCATGTTTTGGAGGAGCCTGCTTCTCCACCACCCCCACCATGGCTGCACCTCCTCCTTGTGAGTTGGACCTGTCTGTGAGCCTACCTTTCCTCCCCCAGAACCAGGAGACCTGGCTATGCCAGTCATCCTCACCTGGGCTGATTTTTTGACTTGGAGTCCTCATCCACCAGGGGCTGGACACTCTTCTCAGCCACATCGGTCAGCACAGAGAATGTGGGCTCCACAATGAAGTCAATAAAACCTGCAGTGAGGGGGGTAACACCGTAAAGGTGTCTTACCCAGAGGGCTGGGAAGTGGATATGGCTGGCATGACTGTGACCCGTCTGCATATAAAACAGCATAACCTGTGGCTGAAAAGTTCCCAGTGGAGGCAGCGTTTGCAGTGATGTCTTCATGACCCCAGAGAACTCCTTGCCACCATCGCACCCCCAGGCCCTCCACCCCAGGACCCCACGCTCTCGCACAGCAGCCTTGCCTCTGTAGGAAGGATAGTTTTGAGGGCTGGGGACTTGGTCCAGTCCTGGCCCAGGCCAAAACAGCATTCTTTTCCCTTCCCAATCCTCCCCTCCCTGCAGGAAAGGACACTCACCAATCTGGGACTGTGCCACGAGAGTGGAAGTGCGATCACACAGGGGAGAAAAGGGCAGACCCAGCTCTGCCTCCTTGTCACCCTGGGGGAGAAGACACGGGGGGAGGCTGGAGAGGGTACCTCAGAACACCAGATGCAGAGGGAAGCTGTGGGCGGCAGGAGGTTGTTGTGGGAGAAAAGGAATTTCTTTGCCTATCGCCTGGAAATGAGTGGTATGCAAATAGGGTGCACCTGTTGTTAACTATTGTTCAGCTTTTAG